AGGGAGAGAAGAAGCAGCAGAATCAAAGGGATCGCCCGGCGATCAACTTTCCTGCCCATGATGATCATTTCTGTTGCGGCGTACATTTCACAGCAGCACCCCACAATTTATACGCATAGGAATAGGGGTGCTGAAGAGCTAGGTAATTTCATTGGTAATGCATCTGATCATCATTTTTTATTTTGATTAAATTACAAATCAAATCAACGTAACGATTTGGGCTCTAAAACGAATCACATTTTTCATTGAGTGATATGCAGATAGGTTAAGGAGAGTTCAGCTTGGGGGAGAAACACCCATGGGAAAGAGGGCTTTTCTTTTTCTACATCAATAGCGGAGAAAACGAATTGGAGAGCGAGTACAAAAGGAGCGGACCATGCATAAATTTTTTTTCCTCAAATTTAAGTTTAATTCTCTTTCGTTAAAAAAAAAAACAAATTGCAAAGAAAATTCGTGCACAAACATCTATTATCAATATATATTATGGTGATAATGTCTTGTAGTTTATCAGATTATACCATGGTGGTTGAATTATCATTGTGTTGAATGATTGTTTATATAATTGTAGGAATACACTATTTGTCATCGTCTACCATCAGTTACTACCATTTATCATAGTGGTATATATACAATGGTATATTTGGACTTTTAATTTTTTTCATAAATTTATAGATGACAATGAACTCGTTTCTACTATGCGGAATTTTCAATGTTTAAGTTGAAAACAAAGGTGTTACAGATTCATACCACGTAATACTAGGGTTGTAACGACTGCTGCAACAAAATTTCTTGAGATATACAAAAAAAAATTAATATCATTTTGTTGATCACAATGAACTCGTTCCATATATGTAAAAATATCTAAATCCAAATTTAAACAAAGCAGTTGCAAATTGATTAAAAAAATAAAGACCTTTTTTTTATAATTAAATCTGACTCTACTTAAAATTAAGAGTCAAAACTTGTAATACACAAATATATAAATATTGTTATGCACCCTCCTCAAAAAATAGTAAAAAAAATATATTTATATGAAAAAAATCCCCATCTTTCATCGGCAATTTTCTTTCGGGTCTTTCATTTTAACTGCGACTAAACTTTGTTTGGAAGGTGACCCAATTCCTCCGGTCTCCAAATAGTTTTTCTAATGCGAAAGAGTTTGGGCGGTTTGGGTTATATGATGTCAAGAAAGACCAACTCTTAGGCACCTATTTTAATCATTTTCGTTTGTGGACGTAGCTAGAATCTTGAATCTGTTCAAAGAATCTTTGCCACTTTCATTTTATATAAAAAAGTAATTTTGCCCTCAGTTATGAGTATGACAAAAAGGATTTTAATTCTAAAATTTGGATCTTTAGGAAAAGAAGAAAAATGAGCTAAGTTTCCGTGAAGTAGTTTTTTTCTATTAGGGGTGGCAGTTCGGTGGTTAAACCAATAACCTGTCGGTTATCCACTAACCGATAACCGAAGCAACCGAACTTCGGTCGGTTATAAGAGGCTGGACGAAATGATTTTTGGTCTTACAAGTGGTTCGGTTAACCGATAATCGAGAAATCGAAGCCTATTTCGGGCGATTTTCAGTAGGGGGAGTGGTTATTTCGGTTAACCGATAACCAACCGATCGGTTACCAGTTATAACAAAAATAACCAAACTGCCACCCCTATTTTCTATAAGGGCCAAGGGGTATAGATGCCGTGAAGTTGTTGATATACCGACTTTTGGTAATTAGGGTTTGTGATTGTAGGGTGGGTATGTATGTGGGTGATTAATGAAGAAATTAAGACTCATACATAAAATGTTTATCAAAACATGCATGAACCATTGTATATATATTGGTTCGGCTCATGATAGTTGGATCAGTTGGTTTACTCTAACCGTTATATCAGTTCGGTTCAAACTGGTTTCGTCCGGTTGGTTACAGAAACCAACTTGACTAATTATCAAAAGATTTAATCAAATTAATCGATTGAATCCAAAGCTTCCTTCCCATATATAACCAATCTGATATTTCAAGAGTTTCTCTTGGCTCCTTCCCCTTTCATTCTCATCCACACCATTCAAAATCTCAACAATCCCCCACATGAATGGAGGATGCAATAGTTTTGAAAACTATGCAAAAACTATGTGACTCAACTAAGAACTAGTTGCACCGCGATAGGTGGGTTTCTCTTTGAACCTTCCGTAGTGAACATATATCGAGTACACTCAATAATCGGTAAATGATATGATATCTTTGAACTGTCGGTTTTTTCTTCTATATATACTAAACAAAATATGTCACACAAATAACTCTTATCCGTTCATTAGTTCTCATTGTTGTGTTCGTTTTAGCCATGAACACCGCCTGGTTTTATAAGTGCTTAGAGAATTGGTCTTCTTTTATTCTCCTTGATGCGGCTCTACTTCACACTCACTTAGGTGATTTCTAAACGTGTATTCCGAAAATACACTATTTGATCACACCACGTGTCAAACTAAGAAACCATTAAAAAGTTTCCATCTTTAGGTTTACCCTTATAGTTGGACATTGTCTCATCATGAGAATGAACTTTGAGTAATTGACAATCTCAAACCATCATTTCTAACTTTGTTTTCTCCTTAAACCAAGAGGTTGGATCTGCCAATCCTACTTAGGTAGAGTAACTACCATGATCATTTGTCCTAGGCCATGAGTCAATTCCCTTTGATGCATTAATAAATATCTAGGTGAGGACCATGTTGTTATCATTTGATATAAAATGATCAATTTAGATAAGTTCGCTATAATTAATTGATCAATAGTGTTATTCTTCCATTATCTAGGACGAGATTTATCACATAACACTCATAGCCCTTGCAATAACAACTTTGTGCACAAAGCGTGTTTATTAATTGCAGTATTTGCGGGCTAGGCTTTTGAACTTCAGCGGTATTAGAGTGGGTATATATATATATATCAACTTGGATATTTTCCAAGGTACTGCTCCCCATCAATCATAAATGCATATCTATTACTGGATTAAACCTTTTGGTTCTTCCGGTGAGTTTCTTTGGGTAAAATATACCAAAGAGTCGTCTGTTATGATTCACTAAACATCATGTGTGCTTGACTAGATTTAAAGTCTTGCAATAATCATAATACATTATCAAACTCGCTATGACACAACTCCTAACAATGGCCAAGTGTAACCAAGGAAAGGGACTGCAGTATAGTGGCTCAAGTAATTATTATCGAATCCACGCGTCTCTATAGTTACTATTAATCAGCTTCAGTTCATTATCTAGCAAATGATGACTCGATATTTGCACATGTTTTCCCCTTTGTTTCTTGATCGTTTGAGATTTAATTATCGTGTCTTTGCCCTATTTTACACTAGGTTGTGTTCCTTTGTCACATTTCAGGTCCTAGCACATAAAGTGAAGCATAGGCGCAAGTTTCAAGTCAATCAGAGGTCAATTGGCGATTAGGGAGAAGAAACTCGGGCATGACCTGAAGAAGAATGGATTTCTACCTCACTTTATGGACAAAGAATCATACAAACTTGTCATGCAAAGAAAGAGGACAAGACTACGAGCGTGTGGGATCAAACGGCGACTGATTCGGAGTCCGGACGAGGGAGAAACGAAGCATTGAATATAGGGGAACATGTTCGGCAGTAAAAACACGGGCGCGCCTAAATCAAAACACGGCCGTGCCCATATTTAGGCACGACCGTGTTTTGGCCGACGCGCGCGGGCGTGTTTTTATCACGGGGCAAAGCACGGGCGGGCAAAACCAAAGCACGGCCGTGCCCTCGACCGTGTTTTGCCCAGAATCGGGTTTTTTAAGCCAATTTCTAGCCAAAAGAGAGGGGGAGCTGGGTTTTGGTTCCCAAACACCCAAGGAACGAACCAAAGAGGGAGAGGGCGATTTGAGGGCATTCTTGGAGTGGAATTGGAGGATTTCTTTGCCTTGAAAGCTCGAGGAACAAGCCCGGACTTGAAGACTGATCATCTGAAGATTCTTACTGTAGTCTCTCTTCTCTATGGAGTAACTTCCCTTCACTTAGGTTTTGAGGAACCCTAGCTATGTTTGTTTGATTGGATGATTGTATGATTACTCTGACTTGATAATCTTGAGTTCATATTCAATCTATGCATGTTTTCATGATTCAATTCTACTTTAGTCGAGATTATTGATTCTGCTTTGATCCTATGAGAGCGAATACCTGATTAGGTCAATAGAGCACCATAGATTGATAGTAGTGGATCGATTGCTTTAGTCAAGGGTTGATTCACTGCTTTGTATCGATTGAGAACCTCTTTCGATAGAGGGAGTCTAGTTCAGAATGCCTTGATCGGTTGTTCTAGAGAAGGATACGTCCCTTTAGGCAATTGACTCAAGAGGGCCTTGTTCCTTTAGTCGAGACTCAAGGTCTAGTCAAGGATTCTCCGCATTGTGAATGAAAGAGAAACAAGTTAGAAATCATCAATCGTTAGTCTGGCTAGTGGCTAGGGGGAATCATACCTAAGTGAGTTCCCAACATGTAATTAGATTAACTTTAACTGTAGTTTGCTAGAGTAGTTTTAGTTCTTTCATCTTAATCTGGTTTGCTAAATAATAAACTGAAGTTGAGTAATAGTAACTCTAGAGACCCGTGGATTCGATATTTATCACTTGAGCCACTATACTGCAGTCCCTTTCATTGGTTACACTTGGCCTTTGTTAGGAGTTGTGTCATAGCGAGTCAAGTTTTTGGCGCCGTTGCCGGGGACTTTCTAGAGTATTAGGAAAGGCAGAAGTTTGTTACTTTAGCGTTTTTCTTTTCTTTTCTTTTCTTTTCCACCCTTGCTTTTCACTTGGGTGTTTTTGTGTTTGTTGGTGCATATCTTAATCATGGATCCTCATGGCTTCTCCAACAATTGGGGGTATCCACCACCACCCGAGTGGTATTACCCCGAGACTCCCTGGAGCAATCAAGGAGGAGAAGACTATGGATTCGGGTTCCAGTATTAACCCCCTTACTACGGAGAACGACCGGACCCCTGGGCATATCAAGAACAACCTCATTACCAAGAAGAATTTCTCCCACAACCAGAAGGGCCATCGGCGCTGGAGTTACCCATGGCGGCCTTCACGTGCCATTCTGCAGAGCCATGCTACACTCCACAGCCAGATCCAAACTATGAATTGAGGCTTCTCATGGAGCAGTTTGCTCGAGACTGTGAGAGAACATGCTCCAGGATGGATCATTGTGTCCAGGCCTATCGTGAAACAAAGGAGATCCTCCTGAGCCTTAAGAAGAGCGTCGATGATCTTGAGCGATCTTGGGCACAACCTGATCCAGATCACCCTTCTGCTACCATACTAGAAGAGGAGGAGGAAGAAGAAGGCTACAAGGACATTGTGGAGCACACTAAAGATGTCATGGAGAGCTCCCGTTATTATCATGACCAGGAATGTCCTGTAATAGCCGACCACACCTTCCCACATCCCAAACTGAGCTTTGAAGAGGCGGGCATGAGTGAGGAGATGCAAGAAGATCTCATGAAAGAAATTGCTTGGCAGCTTGCTCTCCAATCCGTGCTAGAAGAAGAAGAGAAAGAAAGGGTGCAGAAAGAAGTTGTGGAGGATGCCGAAAGTGAAGCAGAAGGAGTTCTTGATCATTTCCCAGGGGTGGTACCTCATGAAGAAGAAAGAGAGGTTGAAGAAGGAATTGGCGTCCAGGCTGAGGACGAAGTTGAGGTGGAAGAGGCTTGCACCGGCCATGAGTTGCAGGTGATATCTCCACCGAATTTCGAGGAACTGCTTAGCAAGGACCCATTTGCAGTGTCTCTTTGCCAGACCAAGGCCACATCGACATGGGTCCCTCTTGGTGGACGCGATGGTGGTCAATCGATGTTGTCATATCTGGTTTGGGGCAATGAGACGAGAGAAGAGAGGAAGAGGTCACGAGGGTGGAGACTTCATCTGCATCAAGTGCACGAGCTTCCATCACCTGTCATACCACATGCTCGTGACTTAATACTCCACCTCATTGACGAGAACCTCAACTTCAAGGAGGTTTTGGGGTGGACCAAAACTTAGGAGCCATCGTCCGGCTCACGACTTGAAAGAAGCGCTTGTTGGGAGGCAACCCAACCAGTCGGTTTGCATTTCTTTTCCTATTTCTCTTCGGTTGAGTCAGTTTTGTTCTTTGGTTTTAGAGTTAATAACTCAACCTTTGTGAGATTTTATGTGGTGTTTGTGTTCTAACTACTCTCTCCTCCTGGAATACACCGCCTGCCCCGTCCACCATCATTCACCCTGGATCTGGTAACTTCGTTCTACCCTCCTTATCTTTCCTCAATTGAGGACAATGTCGTGCTTAAGTGTGGGGGGATGTTCGATTATGTATGCGGGTGAATGTTTGGCTGTTCGTGTGCTTGGAGCCTAGTCCACTGTCCAAATTTTTAAATTTGAGGGCTCCAAGTACGTGTTTCCTTGCAAATTGCCTGCTCAGTATGCTTTGAATTGACAGTCTCTATAGTAATGTGCAACCTAGGGAGGTAGTGTAGCACTATGGAGGATGTTGAAGTATAAGTTTTTTCCTATCTAGCTCTCTGCTGTGCCAGTTGATTTTGTGAATTAGTTGAGCTAAGACCGTTGAATTCATGTGGTAATGGTGACTATGTTTGGATTGGGTTATGGACTCGTGTATGGAACAGGGTGCTCATGTGAAATGAAATGCAGTTGGTCCTCCATGTCGTAATCATCCAAATCTTAAACATGGGGTAAGCCCAACGTGTGCGGCACCGTTCATTGCACAAAATCGGGTTTTGGAAGAGATTTTAGTGATCCTTAGTAGGGTACTCCTACAAGGTGAAGCTAAGTTGTCTCTAGTACAAGTAAAACTTCCACCCGTTGAACGGTTTGCCTACTAGAGGATGTGTTTTTAAGGGCACGGATAGAGCTTCCGACCCCCATTAATTTCATTGACCTTCCACCCGAGTTGAGGAAAAGGAGTTAAAAGAAGTACTCTGGTGAGCGCCAGGTGTACAGAAATTGCTCTTGCTCGACTAATAAGGGTCGACCGTGCAAAAGACTGCAGTTGGAACCCCCGCCAAGTGAATGAAATAAGAAAAAAAATAAAGTAAAATGAAAGCAAAAAAGGGGTTCCAACGGTGAAATGAAGTGAAAGAGCACCCCGGTACAACGAGTCCTTGGTTGTTAATGGTGTGAGTCCCTTTATCCATGAACTGACTGTCTTACTTCTACTTCTTCTCATGATCCTGGCTTGAGTCTAGTACTCGCATTGAGAGAGATAGGGAATGTCTTAGAAGACCAGTTGACCTCGTAAGCTGCTATATGATCTAGGAAATCCTCTACCGACGATCGGGGTTGTATGTTGCTATAGAGGTCTGGAGAGCTGCATTGGTTTGAGTTAGGTTTGCTTGGGGACAAGCAAACGGTTAAGTGTGGGGGGATTTGATGACTCGATATTTGCACATGTTTTCCCCTTTGTTTCTTGACCGTTTGAGATTTAATTATCGCGTCTTTACCCTATTTTATGCTAGGTTGTGTTCCTTTGTCACATTTCAGGTCCTAGCACATAAAGTGAAGCATAGGCGCAAGTTTCAAGTCAATCAGAGGTCAATTGGCGATTAGGGAGAAGAAACTCGGGCATGACCTGAAGAAGAATGGATTTCTACCTCACTTTATGGACAAAGAATCATACAAGCTTGTCATAAAAAGAAAGAGGACAAGACTACGAGCGTGTGGGATCAAACGGCGACTGATTCGGAGTCCGGACGAGGGAGAAACGAAGCATTGAATATAGGGGAATATGTTCGGCAGTAAAAACACGGGCGCGCCTAAATCAAAACACGGCCGTGCCCATATTTAAGCACGACCGTGTTTTGGCCGACGCGCGCGGGCGTGCTTTTATCACGGGGCAAAGCACGGGCGGGCAAAACCAAAGCACGGTCGTGCCCTCGACCGTGTTTTGCCCAGAATCGGGTTTTTTCAGCCAATTTCGAGCCAAAAGAGAGGGAGAGCTGGGTTTTGGTTCCCAAACACCCAAGGGACGAACCAAAGAGGGAGAGGGCGATTTGAGGGCATTCTTGGAGTGGAATTGGAGGATTTCTTTGCCTTGGAAGCTCGAGGAACAAGCCCGGACTTGAAGACTGATCATCTGAAGATTCTTACTGCAGTCTCTCTCTTCTCTATGGAGTAACTTCCCTTCACTTAGGTTTTGAGGAACCCTAGCTATGTTTGTTTGATTGGATGATTACTCTGACTTGATAATCTTGAGTTCATATTCAATCTATGCATGTTTTCATGATTCAATTCTGCTTTAGTCGAGATTATTGATTCTGCTTTGATCCTATGAGAGCGAATACCTGATTAGGTCAATAGAGCACCATAGATTGATAGTAGTGGATCGATTGCTTTAGTCGAGGGTTGATTCACTACTTTGTATCGATTGAGAACCTCTTTCGATAGAGGGAGTCTAGTTCAGAACGCCTTGATCGGTTGTTCTAGAGAAGGATACGTCCCTCTAGGCAATTGACTCAAGAGGGCCTTGTTCCTTTAGTCGAGACTCAAGGTCTAGTCAAGGATTCTCCGCATTGTGAATGAAAGAGAAACAAGTTAGAAATCATCAATCGTTAGTCTGGCTAGTGGCTAGGGCGAATCATACCTAAGTGAGTTCCCAACCTGTAATTAGATTAACTTTAACTGTAGTTTGCTAGAGTAGTTTTAGTTCTTTCATCTTAATCTGGTTTGCTAAATAATAAACTGAAGTTGAGTAATAGTAACTCTAGAGACCTGTGGATTCGATATTTATCACTTGAGCCACTATACTGCAGTCCCTTTCATTGGTTACACTTGGCCTTTGTTAGGAGTTGTGTCATAGCGAGTCAGCAAACCAGATTAAGATGGAAGAACTAAAACTACTCTAACAAACTACAGTTAAAGTTAATCTAATTACAGGTTGGGAACTCACTTAGGTATGATTCCCCCTAGCCACTAGACAGATTAACGATTGATGATCTATAACTTGTTTCACTTTAATTCACAATGCAGAGAATCCTTGACTAGACCTTGAGTCTCGACTAAAGGAACAAGGCCCTCTTGAGTCAATTGCCTAGAGGGACGTATCCTTCTCTAGAACAGCCGATCAAGGCGTTCTGAACTAGACTCCCTCTATCGAAAGAGGTTCTCAATCGATACAAAGCAGTGAATCAACCCTCGACTAAAGCAATCGATCCACTACTATCAATCTATGGTGCTCTATTGACCTAATCAGGTATTCGCTCTCATAGGATCAAAGCAGAACCAATAATCTCGACTAAAGCAAAATTGAATCATGAAAACGTACATAGATTGAATATGAACTCAAGGTTATCAAGTCAGAGTACTCATAAAATCATCCAATTAAACAAACATAGCTAGGGTTCCTCAAAACCTAAGTGAAGGGAAGTTACTCCATAGAGAAGAGAGAGACTGCATTAAGAATCTTCAGATGATCAGTCTTCAAGTCCAGGCTTGTTCCTCGAGCTTCCAAGGCGAAGAAATCCTCCAAATCCACTCCAAGAATGCCCTCAAATTGCCCTCTCTCTCTTTGGTTCATCCCTTGGGTGTTTGGGATCCAAAACCCAGATATCTTTTGCAGAAACGCACAAAACAAGCTTTTAACAGCCTGCGTTCGCGATCCCCAGTCAGAATACCTGGTCGGGTATTTTAGGTGGAGACCGGGGATTGTTGAAACGCACCGTCGGGGTCAGAGGGTTAATCCCCGGTCAGGGTCAAGAATACCCGACCGGGGATTTATGATTAATGCCGGGCCCAAAACAGGTTTTCCCCGGTCTGCTCCAATTAATACCCGGCCGGGTATTTCTGCCCATGGTCGGGTATTTTGCTCCTCCAGCACACTTTAACCCAAACGTGCTCCTTTCGACCCGATACTCGTTTCTTCGCCTCGATGCCAACACTAAGCCTGAAATATGACATAAACACACAACATAGCGTGAAATCGGCTTAAAACACGACAAACAACATCTCAAACGGCTCAAGAATAGGGGTATAAATATGTGTAATTATTGGTCTATCAAACTCCACCACACTTAACCGTTTGCTTGTCCCCAAGCAAACCTATCTCAAACCAATGCAACTCTCCAGACCTCTATAGCAACAAACAACCTCGATCGTCGGTAGAGGATTTCCTAGATCATATAGCAGCTTACGAGGTCAACTGATCTTCTAAGACGTCCCCTATCTCTCTCAATGCGAGTACTAGACTCAAGCCAGGATCATGAGAAGAAGTAGAAGTAAGACATTCAGTTAATGGATAAGGGACTCACACCATTCACAATCAAGGACTCGTTGTACCGGGGTGCTCTTTCACTTCATTTCACCGTTGGAACCCCTTTTTCACGTTCATTTTACTTTCTTTTTTTCTTTTCATTCACTTGGCGGGGGTTCCAACTGCAGTCTTTTGCACGGTCGACCCTTATTAGTCGAGCAAGAGCAATTTCTATACATCTAGCGCTCGTCAGCGTATTTCTTTTAACTCCTTTTCCTCAACTCGTGTGGAGGGTCAATAAAATTAAGGGGGGTCGGAAGCTCTATCCGTGCCCTTAAAAACACATCCTCGAGTAGGAAAACCGTTCAACGGGTGGAAGTTTTACTTGTACTAGAGACAGCTTAGCTTCACCTTGTAGGAGTACCCACTAAGGATCAGTAAAATCTCTTCCAAAACCCGATTTTGTGCAATGAACGGTGCCACACACGTTGGGCTTACCCCATGTTTAAGATTTCAATGATTTTGACATGGAGGACCAACTGCTTTTCATTTCCCACATGAGCACTCTGTTCGATACACGAGTCCATAACACAATCCAAACAGAGGCACCATTACCACATGAATTCAACGGTCTTAGCTCCACAAATTCACAAAATCAACTGGCACAAAAGAGAGCTAGATAGGAAAAATCTTATACTTCAACATCCTCCATAGTGCTACACTACCTCCCTAGGTTGCACATTACTATAGAGACTGTCAATTCAAAGCATACTGAGCAGGCAATTTGCAAGGAAACACGTACTTGAAGCCCTCTAATTGAAAATTTTGGACAGTGGACTAGGCTCCAAGCACACAAACAACCAACCATTCACCCGCATACATAATCGAACATCCTCCACACTTAAGCACGACATTGTCCTAAATGGAGGAAAGATAAGGAGGGTAGAACGAAGTTACCAGATCAAGGGTGAATGATGGTGGATGGGGCAGGCGGTGCATTCCAAGAGGAGAGAGTAGTCAGAACACAAACACCACACAAAATCTCACAACAAAGGTTGAGTTATTGACTCTAAAATCAAATAACAAAACTGACTCAACCGAGGAGAAATAGAGAAAGAAATGCAAACCGACTGGTTGGGCTGCCTCCCAACAAGCGCTTTTTTCACGTCGTGAGCCGGATGATGGCTCCTAAGTTTCGTCCACCCAGAAACCTCCTTGAAGTTGAGGTTCTCGTCGATGAGGTGGAGTCTCAAGTCACGAGCATGTGGTATGACAGATGAAGGAAGCTCGTGCACTTGATGCAGATGAAGTCTCCACCCTCGAGACCTCTTCTTCTCTTCTCTCGTCTCATTGCCCCAAACTAGATATGACAGCATCGATTGACCGCCATCGCGTCCACCAAGAGGGACCGATGTCGATGTGGCCTTGGTTTGGCAAAGAGACACTGCAAATGGGTCATTGCTAAGAAATTCCTCGAAGTTTGGTGGAGATATCACATGTAACTCATGGCTGGTGCAAGCCTCCTCCACCTCAACTCCGTCCTCGGCCTGGACGCCAATTGATTCTTCAACCCCCCTTTCTTCTTCATGTGGTATCACCCCTGGGAAATGATCAAGAACTCCTTCTGCTTCACTTTCGTCATCCTCCACAACTTCTTTTTGCACCCTTTCTCGCTCTTCTTCTTCTAGCACGGATTGGAGAGCAAGTTGCCAAGAAATTTCTTTCATGAGATCTTCTTGCATCTCCTCACTCATGCCCACCTCTTCAAAGATCAGTTTGGGATGTGAAAAGGTGTGGTCGGCTATGACAGGACATTCCTGATCATGATCATCACGGGAGCTCTC